CTCGCCTGGAGCAAAGAAGAGTGAAGAAAATCAAAGGCATTTGGAAAGAATTAGTCCAAGGATAAGATGGACTATGAGGACCTTAGCCTTCACGACCTTCACACCAAAAGAACTAGATGGTGCCCTGCTGTCAGTGCCCATGGCTCAGAAAGGGATCAAAACTGGAATCCTGGATAGAGTGGGAGGAAAAATGTGGAAGAAAATTCAAAAACACAAAAATGACCAGAATTACTGGTTGCATAGAGACTGTGGAACCCCTGAGATTACGGCCTCAGGTTACCCTTCAGGCCTAGAAATGGACTCACTTACACAGATTGGCTCTCAGCCGGACATAGAAAGACCTAAATGCAGAACACCCACCCCAGGGCAATGCACCCCTTAGTGCAATCAGCCATGAAACAACAGAGGAGTAGCATTCACATAGGGGGAAGACAGTTAAGAAGTGCATGGGGAGGGGGTAGTCACAGGAAGTGGAGGGGAGGAGAGTTTTTTTATGGTTGGGAATGTAACTAGGGCCATGGTATCAGATGTGCATGAATGTTGACTGTAAATCAAATTTGCCTTGTAAATTTGCACCCAAAGCACAATAAAAAAATAAAATAAAGCCTAAAACACTGATATCAAAAAGACATTTTCAACTTTTCAGAAATAAATTTATGTTTAAACTATTTCTTCTTTTAGAAGAGCAATTGCATTGATGGATCATATACAAGTTAAGGTAGGTTTCCTTTAAATACGACTCTTTATTATGGCACAAGGATACTCCTTAACTTCAGATATAACTGATTTGTGACAATTAAATACACAGACCTGGACTACTCCCTGCATTCCAGTTGAGAGATAATGCTGCCCTCACATTGTAGTTATTCCTACCATGTGATGCACTGAAATACATAGTGGTGATCAAACCAAACAGAAATACAGACTCTTGGCTTTATTCTACATCTGAATGGCCAAATAAAACCCTATTATCAAGAATTCAGATCCTGAAATTGGAACCCTTACATATTCCTAGTAGAAATGCAAAACTGTACAACCATAATGGGGAACAGTGTGGTGGTTCCTCAAAAAAACTAAAAATAGAACTACCACATGATCTGCTCCTAGGTATATATCCAAAAGACTTGAAAGCAGAGACTCAGAGACTTGTACGCTAACGTCCATTGCAGTACTATTCACAACAGCCGAAAGTGGAAACAATCTAAATGCCCATCAACAGATGAATAGATGAACAAAATGTAGTATATACATACTATGAATTACTACTCTGCTAGTAGGATAAATGATGTCTTCATACATCCTACAATATGGGTAGAGTTGGAAGACATAAGCTGAGTGAGAAGGCAATCAATCTCAAAAGGATAAAATTATATCATCTTACTTATCTAATAGACAAGAAAAGGCAAATGTATACAGAACAAAGTTTATTAGTGCTTACCAGGGGTGTTAGGTAGGGAGAATCAGGGAATTAATGCTGATGGAAATATGCATTGATTAAAGGCAGGACTGCAAAACAAGTTACTGTAATTGTTGTCAGTAAGCTGTACACCTGTAAAAGTTGAGTTGGCAAAAGTTGTGTGATAGATATATTTACAATGACAAAAAAAAAAAAAAAAAGAAAGAAAGAAAGAAATAGCAGCTGCTGAGGCTGATTATGTACTACCAAATACCTCATGGAATTTGGTTTCTTCATTTGGAGGTTTAGGGTCATGGTTTCATGGGACAGCCCAGTTAATTGGCCTAATAGCATGTTTAGTGTCTCTGTCCTACTTCCTAGTTTGATGTATAGTGCCTGGGGTCTTAAAAGCTTGTAAGCACCCATCCAAAGCACAACAATTGGCTTCTGTTTGCCTGGAACAGAGGAAGGAGGAGAGTCAAGAATAGGAAGAGGATATGGAAAGTGTGGCTAATTGCCTCCATGAACAACTGCCTCCTTTGCCATGAGACCAGAACTGGATGGTGCCTGGCTACCATTACTGAACATTTTGACCAAAGATTCCATAGAAAAATCCTGATCAAAAGAGAGGAAATGCAGAACAGAATGTCAAATTCTCAGAGACTCCAGATTTCCTGGTGCCATGAACACTGGATGAATCCCTGAAACAAATGTCCTGAGATAATCTTTAAACCAAAATTATTCTCTGAAGTCTTCTTAAAACCAAACAATAGTTTAGCTTAACTAGTAAAAAATGCCAGCCTTGAGTATCATGCTCTTTTGAGAACTATCTCTATAGGATCAAATTGACAACAGCAACTCAAAAGATTAGATGGGAAACTTAGGGGGCAGTGAATTTTTGTTAATGGGGGAGGAACAACTCAAAAATGAGTGTGAGAATGGTTACACAACTCAAAGAATATAATTAATGTCACTAAAGGTACATACAGAAACTGTTGAACTGGTATATGTTTTGCTGTGTATATTCTTAACACCACCAAAACAAGTGAAATTATATAAAAAGAATTCAGGTCCCCCATGAAGCAAATCACACCACAGTTACCACATCATGAAATCTTAATCACACACAGGAAAGCCCTCTTCTCAGTTGCTTGCCCTCACATTGTCTTCAGTGGGTTGATGGAGGGTATAGCTATTCAAAACAGAAGAATCAGTTGTTGCCATAAGACTACGTGAGCCAACTAAGGTTTGAGGGAACATCTTTATTTTTAAAGGCTAAATTGTGAAAGGAGCTCTGGTAGCATAGTGCCTAAGGCACTTGACTGCTAACCAGAAGGCTGGCGGTTCAAACCCACCAGCCACTCCTTGGAAGGAAGGTTGGGCAATCTACTTCCGTAGTGATACCGCCTCAGAAACCCAAGAAGGGGTCACTATGAGTCAGGGCCGACTTGACGGCACATAACAACAACACAACAAATTTGTGAAGCTGTATGCTAGGCAGTATATCTAAGAGGATGAATCTGAAAGAGCTGCAACCACAATCAAAGAACAATCTTCAATTTTTACACCCGCATAGGGAAGCTGGGCTCTTTGTTCTAAGTCTGTCTTTATAGCCACATCCACCCACTCAAAGAGTAAATCCATTGTTAATACCATCTTTAAAACAGAAAAATATAAAATCAGTCATACCCAAACCAAACCAAATTCACTGCCATCACATTGGGTTGATTCTGACTCATAACGATCCCCTTTGGGTTTCTGAGGTGGTAACTTTTTACGAAGTAGATAGCCCAGTCTTCCTTCGGCAGAGTGTCTGGTGGGTTTGAATCACCAGCCTTCTGGTTAGCAGTCAAATGCCTTAGGCACTATGCCACCAGAGCTCCAAAATCAGTCATATGTAATTAAATATGTCGTCATATAAATATAAGTATTTCTCTTACTTTGTAAGGGAATGTTTCCTACCACCTCTGAGATTTCACAGCTCTTTGTACCAACATCTACTACAGTCCTTACCAAAGTGAACTGTAATTAACTATTTTTTCTGTCATACCACTAGACTCAGAGTCACTGAGAACAAAGACGAACTCCTTTTATCCAAGGACCACACACAGAGCTGTGCACACAGCAGGTGTTTACTGATGAATGCTCCAGTGAAATGCCACATTTCAGGTCATTTGTTAGCCATGTTGGCTTTTCTAATCTTGACAACATATTGTCTGATAGAGTATATACTCACCTACCACCAAAAGAGCAAAAAAAGTAGCCAATATAAGTGAAAATTGGGAAAAAGAAGATGCAGGTTAATTGGCTCTGAGAGCATGTTTATCAAGACTACCTTTGTTAAAATTCTCTGGAGCTTTCAGATAGAGACCATAAAAGTGTACCAGCAGAAACAGCATGTACCCAAGTAAGTGTGAGCAATTAGATTTTGGCATCCTTTGCTCTCCTTGCATGCTGCCTCCTTCCCTTGCTCATAGATTCTGAGATCCCTCCTTGTCTCATTTACCATTTACTCTCCTACCCTCTTCCACCATAAAAAAAAAAACAAACAAAACTATCATTCATTTACATCTTGGCATGATTTTAAAAAGTTACATACTCTAGAGGTCTCTGCATTTTCAAGTCTTACCTATAAGTGCAAAAAAGACTCTAAGTTTGTTAGAATGAGTTCAAGGATCCGACACCAAGCTGATGGTCTGTATCACTAATGGGTGAGGCCACCTGGATTACAGAAACTAGGAGCCCTGAATTTTCTCATGTCATGAGTACCTTTAAGATTTCATTCTCTTGTTGTAGCATTAAAGTTTTGACCACAACCATTTATATCAACTTGACCTTGATCACCTGAGAGATACTATTACAAACACTTCTGCCAAACACTAGTCTTTCCTGTATTGTTTTGATCTATCAAGTAAAAATGGTAGTTTATGAATAACTAGTAAGAGTCAACAATTTCCTTTCCTTAATGAGCAGGAATATTCCTCAGTATAGGCACTTCTGAATCTGCCTGCAGAAAAATGCATTTAGAAGGCATGGAAGGTCACCTTTTAATTCGATACCAAAGAGGTATGTATCTGCATTAAAGGTAAACTCAGATGTTACTTTATGATCACTTTGAGACTCAGCCAAAGAAAGGAGTACAAATTACTTCAGACTCCAAATAGTAACACAAGAGACAAATGGGAAAGAGTGATTACCAAAAGTTATTTAGATGTAAGAGGGTTTCTGCAACAGGAAATAAAAAGGAAAAAAAAAAGTCAAATCAAAATGGAAAGGATAATTTTACACATGACTACTAAAATTAAGGCTAATTTGATATTTAACTGCTCAGTCTAGTTTAGTAATAGACTTTAACAAGGAGTAGCAATCAACAAGTCCTAATCATGAGTATTAAATGAATATAATCTCCAGACACACATAATGCAGTTGTTTTTTAGTAATGATGCCCCATAAAGCAGGCTTTTCAACTTAAGTAGGAAGACTTTTAGATTAACATCCCAACTCAGAATCAGAATTTAACTATGTGACTCGCCTGTAAACTAAGTCCAATCATCATGCTCTAGTACCTCCCCGAAGTAGAGAGCCAAGAGGCAGAATTACTCACTTTCACGAGCTCCTGCTGAGGCCAAATCTGAATGGGCTCTACCTGCTGAGGTGTTTGAGTCTGAATGCCGTATGTGTTGAGAAAGACTTGCAGGCTAAAGCACAGGGAAAAGAGAGACATTTTTAGACAGCGCATTTCCAGTTTAGGAAGCAATGATGGGTGGGGATCAAAGGAAGAGGCTATGCTTAACTCTGGGGCACACTATTAGTTTGGTAATGTCAGCAATGTGCCACCTGCACTGGAATCCAAAAGCCTTCTTGGATTCCCATAAAACATCACACGGTGCTTTGGGGTGGGGGGAAATGGTTGGAAGGATAAGCACTGATGTTGGGAATCACAGAAATCTGTTTGCTCTGATTTCTCAAAAATACCCCAGGCAATACAGTCTTAGGTCACAGTCTTTAAGAGTTACAGCAACTAAAATAAAATAAATTTTAAAAAAGGAAAATAATGTTGTGCTGGCACTTAAAATGACATTAATAACTTCCTTGAAACCAAGTCAAAGGGCTTATGAAATTAAACTCTATAGGCCTGGTGACACAGTGGTTAAAGTGTTTGGCTGCTAACCAAACGGTTGGCAGTTTGAACCCATCAGCTCCTCCATGGGAGAAAGATGTGGCAGTCTGGTTTGGTAAAGCTTTATAGCTTTGTAAACTCTATGGGCAGTTTTACTCTGTCCTATAGGGTTGCTATAGTTGGAACAGACAGGTTGACAGCAGCAGGTTTGATTTTGATTTTACCATAATCAATATTGTAAGCATAAAACAATTATTTCTTTTTCCCTCCCCAAAAAAGAACACATCACTCATCTGGATTTCATACCGTTGGCTTTCTGCTACAAGTGCTACATGAACTACCAAATCATTTTCCAGTGGGCCCTGTAAGAAAAGAAAAAAGGAGGGAAGAAAAACATTTTAAAAGATCTGGTCATCATCAGTTACAATGAGAATCAAGGACAATGTTAACCATCTCTAAGTAGTTCATTAAAATGATGGATACCAGCTGACTCTAAGTGGCCACCTTTCTTTCCTTGTTCACCATTGCCTACTAATCAATTTGATGGTGCAGACAGAGTAATGGAACACCAAGGAATGGAAAGCCATAAATCTCACTGCTACCAGAGGGGCCAGCTGTCACAACTATTTTGAATGATGCCTAAGTGTAGTTTGGTGACTGAGAGTCATTTTCCATCATTTAACTCTGAAGGGAGGAAGAGGAACTAAAAATAAAAAACCCAATTTATGTATTCTCTGTAATATATATGTGTGGTGTGTGTGTGTGTGTGTGTGTGTGACTTAAAGTTGTTCATTTGACATCTTAACCACACAGAAGGCTATTCCTGTCCTTGTTAGCCAATTTTTCTTTGCCACCTTATGTAACATAATAGCTTCATTCTAATATATAGTTCCCATGATGCAGAATGAACTACCCAGTTGACTATATAATTAACACTATGCTCATTAAATACAAGCTGTTGGATTTAATAGTTCTAATCAACGATAGCCTTGGATATTTGCTACTCCTTTTTGTGTGGAAAAGATTCACTACAACATATATGTTGTTAAAATTAGCCCAATTTTGAGTCGGTATATAATTAATAGAGGATATTAAGAAACATCAATAAATTACAGTATTAGAGGGCTCTAAAAATACTGATAAAAAATAACTTCTTTCTAGTAACGAATCCAATATTCCCAATATTATGCTATAAAACATTTGATTTACCATCTCAGTTCTTCTCTATGGTATTCAATATGCCACTAGAATCTATGTATGACAGAAAGCAAGAAACACCAGAATACATATAGCAGCAATAAATATTATATAATCAAAGAGATGGTTCCCGAATCATCGTGAAAATGTCATTTCAGGCAGACTTCTGTGTGGTTTAAATGAATATACAAGAAAAACATAATGTAGCAACCTAACAAAAATAAATACACATTAAAAATGTTATGAATTCTAGTTTTATTTGATAATGAGCTTACAATTTAATGTTTCTCAAAGGGATGAGAAAAATTAATTATTCACAGTTTCATCAATTTCTAACAACAAATGAAAAAGATAAGCCTATTTTTCTCATATGAAATCTAGTAATTATTTAGTCAAAAGGAGGAGAAACCTTAGAGTGGGTCATTATCTACAATTGTCAAGACAATAATGGAATTCTTAAATAAAAAGCAAATGAAAACATCTACCATAATGCACATGATATTTCAGTAACAATAGACAAGTCAGCTCACAGATTCTAATTGGTAAATTGGTATCTTCCTTTGAATCAACAGGCTTGTTTCTTAGAATATTGTTGTCCCATTCACTTGACAGATCATTCAGGTCTAAAATGGCCACTACACAGGCTGAATCAGAGTAAGCATCTGGTTACAGGACTATTAAATGGCTGAAGAATTCTTTCATTATAAAAAACTTTTGGAAAGTTCCAAATCACAAACTACCTACCACAAGGCGTCTGGGTCTTCAACTCTGGTCTAGATATGATCCCTCACTCCAGTCTGCACCCACAAAAAGAATTCAGCACAGCAATCCCACTCCAAACAACCCTCTTCTTTTCACTGCCACAGTGGGAACCATCTTTTTGCTTTCTCAAAACTATTTTCTTCAAAGCACCAACATCGTACTTTTCTAACAGTAATTAATACCTTCTATTTCTGAATGGCATTTTCTCTAATATTGTAATATTTTCTGCTTTCAGTTCACAAAGTATGTATTTGTGCATGTTACCGATGTTACATATATGGTTAACATGATGTTTCAAGGCTACATATATGGTGTAACATGATGTTTCAAGGTGAGTATGACCCAGTTGTCTCTCCTTGACGTATTCAGAGTCTATCAAGAGATGGGCAGTTTCACATATGTGTTTATTATCAGGGAAAAGTACTTCACCAATATCTTTCTTGGCAATATGGTTCTACCACATTAAAAAATGGCTGCAGGGCATGCATTATGCTACAATGTTGTTGTTAGGTGCAGTAGAGTCAATTTTTGACTCATGGCGACCCGATGTGATAGAGCAGAATTATCCCATGGGGTTTCTTGGTTGCAATCTTCATGGAAGTAGATCACCAAGACCTTTTCATGCAGAGCACCTAGGTGGGTTCCAAATGCCAATCTTCTTATTAGTAGTTGAGTGCTTAACCACTATGTCACTCAAGGGTCCATTATGTGTTAACATTTATAATGATGGACATTTACATGGTTTCCAGTTTTTCACTTCTGCAGAGAATATAATGACTGGGAATTGCTGTGAAGATTTAGAGAGAGAACAAAGTGTGTGAGCACAGTATTTGACAAATAATGATACTCACAAAAGGCAGGAATACTTGCTTCAGTGGTATGTTTGCTATTTTCATACCTAATCTAGGACAGCTGGTCCTCTCTTCCTTGCTGAGATTTGCTATAACACTTAAAATCTCACTGCCGTGGCATCGGATCCAACTCACAGTGACCACTCCTTGGGTTTCTCAGGCAGTATCACTATAGAAGTGGATTGCCCAGTCTTCCGAGGAGTGTCTCTGGTGGGTTTGACCCAGCCTTCTGGTTAGCAATCAAATGCCTTAGGCACTACGCCACCAGAACTCCCTGTTATACTTGTGTTACTCTAAATCCTTACTGGCCTCTGCTTTCCTAAAACAACCAAACCTGCTGCAGTCACACTGATTCTGACTCATAAACAAACAAACAAAAAACCCCAAACTCACTGCCCTGGAGTCAGGTCCGACTCACAGCGACCCCTCCTTGGGTTTCCAAGGCAGTATCGCTATGGAAGTAGATTGCCCAACCTTCTTTCTGAGGAGTGGCTGGTGGGTTCGAACCGCCAGCCTTCTGGTTAGCAGTCAAGTGCCTTAGGCACCATGACACCAGAGCTCCTATTCTGACTCATAACCATCCATTATCTCATTTTCATCTGGCTAGTAGAAATCCAAACATCTTCTACAAAGAAATTTTCATTTGACTTACCACCTTTTTTTTTTAACTCGAACTTATTTTCTCTCCTTTCAATTTCTCATAGACTGTAACTATTACCTAAGCTTCCTTGCCTTTATAATACTGTACTCCACCTTCTAAACTGCTTTGCCCTTAGAAATGGAGACTCCTCACACTTGAATCCTTCTTCTTCTATCCATTCCCCCTTTTTCTCTTTCTCTCTCACCAGTCTCATTCACTCTAGTCACCTACATTATCACCATCAAGCAGATAACTCCTTGTCTCTATTTCTAGTCTTGACCTTTCTCATGAGTTCCAGTTCCAACTTTTTAAACTGGACATGTTAGCCTGACTATTTCCCAAGTTAATAGCCTCCACCACCAAGTGAGCTGTTTCCTTGGCAGTTTCTAAGTTCTGTGAGATGTTACAGCAAAATATGGAACCCTAACACAGGTGGAGGAGCTCTGGTGGCATAATGCCTAAGGCACTTGACTGCTAACCAGAGGGCTGGTGGTTCAAACCCACCAGCCACTCCTCAGAAGGAAGATGGGGCAATCTACTTCTAAGACAGGTGGGAGAATACCAAGGGGAGGAGAAGGAGTTGGTGCTAGAGATGATGGAGTTGAATAGTAGTTTGGAAAAGCTGAGAATTTGCAACCTTTAACCTCTGCCCATAGGGACCAGCCGCGTGCTGATCCTTCTAAAATAAATCATTCATGCAATAGTATTAAGTCTTAACCATCACCCCTTCCTTATGGAGGCTTTCCCTCAGCACTGCAGCCAAAGTTGTTCTTCCCAGGCATCTCCAGCCCCTTATCACCACTTTATTTCTCTACCACTGTGCTTCATTTACTTCATAGTATTTGTTAGCTCTAGAAATTATATTATGCTATTTATTTTTATGTTCACTGCTATTCTTTCAATGGTCTGTATTGGTCTGGGCTCCGCTATGTCCCCAGTGCTTAGAAGAGTATCTAGCACAATGCAGGTGCTTGCTATGTAATCAATGTCCAAGTAAATTTCTCAATTCTGTTTTTCTCTGAAACAGGAACAGTAATATTTAGTCTGTCTACCACACGGGGAAGATCAAGCAAAAAAGGATATATAACATATTTACAAACTTTCATCTACTAAACAAATGATATTTATACTATTATTTGCTGTGTTACTCTCTATGTCATTTAACCTCACTAAGTCTATTTCCTCATGTGTAAATTTGGAAAAATAAAACCTACTTCATAAGGTTATGTGGATAATACATAGCACATTTAAGCATATAACAACACAGTGTCTGGCATATAGTAAGTGTTCAAAACCATTTGCTCTTTTATCAACTCCAATACCACCACCACAGCCCTGGGTCATTTAATACGCTTTCTCAGTTCTCTGCTTTACACCCGCCTCTGCTCATCTTCTGTACTTTATAGTCAGGTTGATTTTCTTAAATCGGTGATTTGCACAAAGTAAGTGGGTAACACGTTTGTTGAATGAATGAAGAAAAGGTGGGGAAGTAGGAAAACAAACATACTTGTAAAATTTATGGCATCAGTTCTCTATTCCCAAACCAGTATTTCCCAAAATAAAGCCCAAACTTCCTGAGCACCTCTACAACTTAAGCTGCTACCTAGTGCTCCCTGTTTGTCTTTCATCTGCTCCATTTAGTATACGCCATTAGAGAAACCAGTTTACTCAGGTCCATCTCAAGTTTCTGTCCACTGTCCCTTTATGTTTGGATTGCTCCTTCCTTTTCTGTTTATCCATATCCTGACTCACTCTTTCAACTCTCCTCCAGAAACACCCCAAACTTCAGTGTGCCCAGATAAATTCTTCCCCAATCAACTAGAGCAGGTGTTATCTATATGAGTCACTTGGAACTAGTCATATCTCTTTGGAAGTGCTATTTAGCTTTTTGCATATATAAGATTGAGCCTCC